ACTGGGCAGACTGCGTGGACGGAGTTGAGGCGTCAGTCGGCAGCCTTCCTACCTACGGTGATTGGCGCACCGTAATAGTCTCATACTCGGATCACATATGCAACAGAGGAGCCGCAGGGAGACGGAGAGGAGAAGCACACTACCAACTTGCGTGGGAGGCGGCAATTAAGTCCTTCCACCGTGTCCTAATGGGTGATGTTGTTGTGTAGTGCAGGTGCAGGTGGGTGAACTAGTGATTGTGAGATGTGGCCGGTGGTTGTTTACCGCAGCCTTTATGAATGCGTATACGACCTAGTAGACCCGTGCGTCGAGTGAATATGCAGGCCAGGTAAGACAGTTGGGACGGCTGCGGCGAGTGTGGGTTGGTGCTCCAGGTACTTCGTACTGCTGGTGAAGAATGAAGATGAAGGATGTGCAAAAATTTCTGAAGTCATAGTACCGATGAGTCAATAATGCGGGGAGAGTAGGTGTGCTTAGCGGACCGATTTCCATCCAAATTCACATGCCTATGAGTAAAGTCTTCCATGATATTGCCTGTTTTGATCCAAGTATCTCCGTGACATGAAAACGCTAAAAACGTACGTCTCTTCGTGGTTTCAAAATTAAGAGCTTCAATAAACGATATGAAAAACCATCAGGGGAAAGATTACGCATCATATGCGGTCTGAAAATGGTTAATCAAAACATCTGCACTGCAGTTCGTGCTTTTACCATATAAAAAATCTGGCACTTTTGTTTAGCTCATTATTGACACACATGTTTGACACGATTTTGCACTTACTCATACACTTTTCATCATATGTTTATGACCTTTTTAATATTATCTTCTAGTTTCCTCTGTTTGAGACGTCCTCAACACACTCGCCTTTCTTCACGCGAGCAGTTCTTTTGCTGTTTTCTCCGCCTACGAAGAATTATTTCATTGCGGGTGCCTTTTGTTCATGTATCGCGATTTTTGTGTTGTTCTGAAAGTATTAGTTGGTTTGTTTGCAAGTCGTTTACACGCCACTTCATAAAGCTGTACTCAAATATTCCTCTCTCAGCTCGAATGTCCCTGGGTATCAGATTCACGTGCAGCGCATTAATGCGGGGCCATGAGGGGGCTGGTGCTGGCAGGGTTGTCACCAGGCCTGGTCCCTAGGGGACTGTGCACTCCAAACGAATTATATTGAGCCATGTGGTGTTATCATAGACATAGTACGGGTTTTCGTCTACATATCACTGTAATTAAACCGAATGACTGAACACAGATAATTTTCGGATAAAATGCTGGATGGCCATGGCCACATTCCACATATATGTGGGGGCTTCTAAGTGCTGGTCGAATTGCTACTGGCTATTGAACACCGTACGCCGCGAATATGAAAGTTAGGGAGCAACTTGGCCTTGCTCGCCCTTGATGATACTCCTGCGCAACGTAACGACAAGAAGAGGTCCCTTCACAAAGTTGAGACTCCTTAAACAATCTATGTGCACTAAATTAATTGCCTTTTACTTCACAGCACAACGTGTGACCACTGATTCCTCACCGACTTCCCATTCGTCTTTTCCCGTCACTACGGAATAAAGCGATGACTGTTCTTTGCAGTAAAGGGAGGCTACCGTTTGTGACTTTGTTGTCGAAGTCGTCTCATTTATAGAACGATTCGCCGAAGTGGTTCCACCCACAATTCCGTATGTTTCACTTTGCACTTCATCGCCTAGCAGTACTCTCACATCTTTGTGAATGGAGACAGCCTATCTTTAAGAGCTACATACGCGAGAAACGCCTCGTTGCCTTTTTAGGATTTTCAATAACCACAAGGTCTCATATAGTTATCCGATAGTCAACCATCCGCAGCCGATCAGGGCGAGCTCGCTTCGCAGCTACGTGATGTATTACGTAGATACGGCAACATCCACCTCACAGTGAACCAGAATCTACACGCGTTCACAAATTTCCTGCCCTCTTTGACGCCTCTGCTAGCCTCAAGTTGTTTGAGAAAAACGTCACACACAACAGCCCATGGCACATTGCTGTGACGTGCTTAGGGCGATAATTATACTGCTTGTGGCGGCAGTATTCCTCGGCTTCTTCTCTCGCTTTATCAATTTCCTTCAAATTTGTGAACTCTACTGGACTGTTTACGAAGTCAGTAAGGGTCCTGTGGCGTACGCACCGTTGTTTGAGCATGCGATTACGACCAACCGTCGTATTTGTCGTCTTGTCATCGTAGTCATACCGGCATCCTTGTCATTAAAAGTCGACCATAATCCTTTGGGATGGAGGACCACTGATTTATTAAATTTCCGTACGACGACTGAAGATTTCGACCGTTTTATATATAATGAGCGCACAAGACGAACTTCGTATAGCCATACCTGGTAATTGTCACTATGTGACACGGTGCAAATCCATGACGGTTTGTACAATGAAAACTCAACCGTCTTTACTGGCGTTGTCCACTGTGCCTCACTCCAAGGTGGGCGCAAGGCCCCTGACTTACGCGTAAACTAGTTTTTGATGATGGAACTGCCCTGTATCGACCTCTTTGTCTTCTCCCCCATCCATCCCAGCTCGGTGTCAAGACCGTTAGGAAGACCGTAGGCACAGTGGGTTACAAAGCTAAACAGCCCATTTGCGGGTGTCGCTTGTCTGGCCTGCGCACGATCGACCGTGCTTTTACATAAACAAGGAAGGACGGTTCCGATTCCAACAGTGGGAATGCTATAGAGACTTTCAGTTCTGGGAGGAGGACCGAGTTATTCCATCAGTTGACAGCCTTCCAAGCCACGGCATTTAGCGCGCTGCGATATTTTGAAGGCGTGTCAGTTTGTATTGATGAGTATATGCCGAGCGCCGTGGGGACGGAGTTTAAAGACTCAACTTCATTCCCTCCTCCCCCTACCAGGTACCAGTTAAGTGTCCGAGCCGGTCATTTATCTGATGCGAGGATTGGGCGCAAGTGGGTGACAGAGCTAAGCAACCTGTCTGCGCCTACTTAGCCCGGATCTCGCATGCGGGAGAGCCCGTTTAGGCATAGTAAGGAACCATTGAGCCTGACTCAGTTCACCAGTCGATCATTGCAAACAAACACACTAGACCGACTTCGGGTTCCAAGTTGTGCCGTCAGTTGGCAACCTCCCAACCAAAGGTGTTTAGCGTGTGGTGATAGATTCGAGCGCATCATATTGTTTAGTCAGAAGTTTGCTGAAGATCCACGAGAATGGAACCCCAGAGTCGGCCTCACTCTCCCTTTTCCAGTACACCAGTCGATTGTCCGACCTGGTTAACCAGCTGATGCTGAGATGGGGCGCAGTGGCCGGCAG